ACGAAAACTATTTGTTTTTTATTTTAACAATATTTTACTAACATAACTTTCTTAAAATATACAGAAAAAGCCATAACATCGTACATTGGAAATAGGGTATTTCGAGTAAAAGTAAACAAAGTTTGAGGACATTGGTAATCGAAAAATTATTTTAAAACCGTTTGGATACAGGAAGAAAATCATGAATTTTAATAAGTATGAATTTGAACTGAAAGGAAAGATTTGCTTAACGTTAAAACTTAATGATTTATTAATGTTTAAATAGCATTTGGACATGTACATTGTACATGTATATTTATTTCGGAAGTGTTATTCAGAAGTAAATGTTCTGTATCTTGAACTTAATGAAAATAAACGCACACAGGGTAACCATTGACGCGTCTTGGGAATTAGTGATCATAGATATCACTATCGGAGAAGCCCAGAAGGCAGTGGTTAATTTGTTTTTCTATGAGTAAATCTAAGAGCGTCCGTTGATTTCTGAAATCTGGAAGGTCTTGTAATGGATGTTGAACGAGATCCGACAAAGAAGTTATGTTAGATATTTGTCGGTGCCCTGCAAATGAATCCGATAACCTTTCTGAAAAATAATAATAATACATATTTTTTCGTATTTCTTTATCTGAAATATTGATCGAATAACTTTGCAATTGGTATATTAGTCTACTAGCCTACATCTGAGAACAATAGAAACTCACTGCAACTTATAAATTGGAAAATCAAACTCTGTGCTGTTATATGTTTATTCACCAAAATGTTAGTTACATAAGATAACTATTTTTAGGTAACATTATTGCCGAATTTAGTTTCATATTAATCTAAGGGATTTGTTGTAAAAAAAAAGGCTGTAATCCTTTGTGGGCATGCCGACGAATACATTGAAATATAGGACTTAATAAGATATTTCATAACAGAAACATCATTTACCTAGAACAAACCTTATAAGACCATTCAATCCTATATTAGTAGGCCTCTTGTTGGCAAAAGTCCAGATTATATGTATATCCCATTGTACAGGTATTCAAACACTCTCCATATAAATTATTATATGAGATCATGACATTAAATTTTTATGTTTTATGACATGGTTTGACTATTTTACACTAGTTTGGGCTCTTAATACGGCTCTGTCACATAGGCTGTGAATGGTATGTAGATCGTAGCAAGTAACATGAGAGATTGAAATTGAATTCCATTGGCTAAATTTCATATTTATTACTATTGTTTTAATTTATCACTTGATCACATGATTAGTTCATAGCAAAGGGTAGATTTTAGCTCAATATTTCAATATTTGTCAAAGTGGCCGGGTTATGTTTGGTAATTAACATTTCAAAAGAGAACGTAAGATCTTGGATAATAGTCTATAAATAGAATCAGGAAAAACGTCACACATTGTAAAAAAATGTTGTTCTGGTTGTTTGAGCACATATCACCCACACACGTATTCATGGAAACGAAAACCCGTGTTAGAAAAGAATTATATGTTGACCTATATTCAATACTTATTTGACTTGTTATACCCCCACACTAAAACGTTATGTTGACGTCACCTATGTCTTTCAACATTTCTCCTAAGCATAATAGAAAGCCCTGTTTTTCTACCGATTTTGAGGAAACTTGGCATTAAATAACGAAGTAACGAACTTTTGATGTAAGGCTTTTGAAACTCTACTGTTATTGACCTATAATCAACATGTTTGCATCCAATTTGGATGAAACTTAAGATGCATAATATTGAGATTTATTAGCAATGTCAGATGACAGACTTATGTAAAAGGTGGGTGTCAAGAAAAGACAACTCTTCAAAAATGTATATGCTTCTTAGAGATGCGAACAGACGAGGTACGTTGTCCATTACGGTGTACAGTAAGAAATAGAAGGAACGAATCGTCTCTGCACCGTGTCCGGACCCGTACCTCGTGTGTTTACTTCTTCTAGTTTCGTTGTATCGATTAGCCCGCACCGTACACCGCACCGCACACTGTATCTCATCTATTCGCGGCCTAATGTGTCAAGGAACCATTTTTTCTATTTTGAACTGCAGTAAACATATGCTAGAAAAACAAACACTTATAATAAAGTTATGAATTATGAACTAAATACTCCATTTGTGATATTAATTTTGATTTTACTTGGATGTGTTTCATTGTGGAAGGCAATTTTATGTATTTTTTAAAATTGCAAATATTTTAGTCCTACTTTCCCTTTTGTATTTATAGTCTATTTCAAAACTCTTACGCACCGTAGGCCTAATAGATTTTTTTTTTTATATGATTGAAAAATTTTCCTTTCTTTGGGAATGAGATTTTACATTTTACACCAGTCATAATGATATAGATTATAGGTGGGATATAATTCAACATGGGGAAAGGTTTAGGAAAGTAAGAGTAATTTCCCTTTATTTATCATAATAGAAAGCTATATTTTTCACCCGATTTTGAGGAACCTTGGCATGGAAATAAACTTTTGATGTAAGCTTTCGGGGAAGGCAGGGTTTGATACTCCCAATGTGCAGCCCTACGATGGAACAAATACTTCATTAATCGAAAAGCAACTGCCTGGAACTGCTGAGTATTTTCCTCTGTTCTGATCTATAATTAACTCGTTGGGGAGAGGTTAGATTGTTACATACTGATGGGCTTTAGAATGCTGTGAACAAGGTTGTTATTTAAGTTCTGGTTTTTTGAATAGGCAACAATTATTTTTTTTCAATCATGGGGGAACTTATCTTGCAGGCTCTTGTGGGTTTTGAGGGTTTAGGTTTCGGGGAAGGGAAGGGTTTGATTTTCCCAAATGTACAGGCCTAGGATGGAACAGACACTTTATTTAGAAATTAGGATTAGGGTCTTGATATTGGGTTTTCTTCTGTTCTGATTCTGATCTGAAATAAGAAAAAATAAGAGAAGTATGGTATCTGTTATGTACTGATTTTTAGTTTACTATGAACAATATTATCATTTAAGTTTTTAAGCCTATTTTTTGAATATGCAACTATCATTTTCTGCTTATAGACATGGGGGAATTTCTCTTGAAGGCTCTTATAGTGGGCATGAACTATCTTGCTCGATTGCTGGTTGTATTGAACGGGACATCAAAGGGTGCAATGCCTACATTATGGTGAATATTTAGCCCTATAGGTCTTGCTGTATTCAATGTCTCAATCCAATGGGCTTCCTTAGATTGACGAAATTTGGAAGTTTCATCTTCGGGCAAGTCAATTTCTATGAGCTTAATTGGGATTAGGGTGAGATCGTCTATTGAATGGTCGTCGAGGTTGAAATGATTAGAAACAGGCTTGTCTTTCTTTAATTTGATATCCGACCTATGAGCATTAAAACGAGTTCGTAAATTATTTTTAGTTTCTCTTACATATTGTTTGGGGCATTTCTTGCATGAAATTAAATATATTACTTTCGAATGTTCACATGTTAGATGTTCCTGGATCGGGTACCTTTTATTCGTAGAGTTGCTTACAAAATAATGAGTTTCTGATATAAAGGGACTTTATCGTAAAACTTGTGACTTGATTATACCAGTTTATTTGTTTCTGCTATGGAATCACCCTTAAAGACAGTGGTATCGAGAAAGTCTATGCTTTTGTCACTCACGTTTGCGGTTAGTTTGATAGAAGGATGGTGGTTGTTTGAGAATTTCAAAGAATTCCCAAAACTGTTCGATAGAATAATTCCAAACCATAAAAATGTCATCCAAAAAGCGTCCGTAAAAAGTGGGTCAAATGGACAGAGGGGCAACACCTTACGTTCCCACTCTGCCATGAAAAGTTTGCGTACGAAGGGGCGAATCGTTTGCCCATAGCTGTAAGTTTGTAAATATGTTTTACCATTAAATGTGACTAATCTCTAAAATCTGTAGAATTCAATTGTCGGGTCCGTTTGGATCTGGGTTTCTATTAAAAGTTTTACGAACTGCCGTTAAACCAGTAGTGTTATCGATATTAGTATACATAGAAGAAACGTCGCTGGAAATTAAAATAGCATTAGAGGGAACTCGAAGATTTTTTATTTTATGGACAAAATCGGTTGTGTCTTTAAGGTAGGCGCGATGTTGAAATGTTAGAGGTAGTAAGAAATGATCAATGTATTCTGACACTGCATACGACTCACTACCACAGTCAGATATAATCGGGCGGCCTTTAGGGATTTTATTCGATATTAACCACTCCTTGGTTGGATTCTTATGGATTTTAGGCAAAGTGTACAAATGTCTCTCGCGACAATCAGGTTTGGCAGACAGATAGTCATATTGTTTCTGTTTGAGATAGCTAGTTTTGACTAAATCGGCAAGAATATTGTTAATCATATGAGTAGTTTCTTTGAAAACTGGTTTCGGTAAAATGACATAATGTTTAGGATTATTCAGTTGATTCTCTGCTTCTGAAACGTAATCCTCCCTATTCAGAATGACACAACATGAACCGTTGTCACTCTTTTTAATAGCAATGCTATCGTCTTTCTTAAAAAAGAGGTATACAGTATTCAAGAGAGAGGGATGCAAAGAAAAGAGATTATTTAGCAGTTTCCTTGACAAAAAAGTTGAGAAAAATAAAAGATCTCATGAAAGATGAAGATGTGGACGTGACATTAATGAGAAAAAGTATACAGAATTTCTACAGATATACGAATAGTTTTTGGATATGCAAACGACTTTAGAAGGATATCTGTCATCCATTGATAAAGCAGGAGAAACCCACAAAGACTTTTTCTTGAGATTTAAGAATGATGTAGAAAACTGGTTCCTTCAAGAAGAATCTGTCAGCATCTCAAAGGCAGATGCCAAGGGAGTAGGCCATGACAAGACACCATCTGAAGGAAGAAGCTATTCAAATGCATCACATAGATCAAAGTCTACACATGAATCTAGTTCCACTAAAGGAAGTTCTTTATCGTCATCATTAGCCAAAGCCCGAGTAAAACCTGCTGAATTAGAAGCAAAAAAATGCAGCTTTACAGAAAAGAAAAGCTTTAGAACAAGAAAGAATGGAGCAGAAGATCCGAGAAGATAAAGCAAGGCTTAATCTTAAGTTGCTAGAAGAACAGTTACAAATTGGAGAAGACCTAGCTGTAGCTGAAGCGGCAGAAAGAGTTTTAGAAAATATAGAAATAAGGGATGTTGTGTCTCGACACTCAGCAAGTTACCAGCCTCAGCCTAAAGGAGAAGATAGGTTGCCTAGAAGCAGAGGGTTTTGTGAACCCAAGAAACAGGATAGAATTGTAGAAAGAGAAGCCCTTAAACCAGTTAGACAGTCAGAAGAACCTGTGAACAGTAATTGGGAGAGAGAAACTATAAACTCTTCATCGTCTATTGGCAGTCGAAAATCTGCAGAAGAAGTTATGGTAACTATGGTAAAGGAAATAAAAAAGCCAAAGGCGGAAATTAAAAGGTTGATGGTAATATGATGGCTTACAAGAAGTTTATGAGACAGTTCCAGTCCATCGTTGCCAACACTGATGATATCAATGAGAAGATGATGTATTTAGAACAGTTTACTACAGGTACTCCCAATGATATTGTTTCTTGACAGAATGCAATTGTGCCATTCAAGGTATGGAGAGTTTGTAAGTGATAGAATATCCAGATAATCTGAAGAAAATAGCATCTAAACTATCTCTCTTTCTTCAAGAGAGATGGTGTTCTAAGGCAACAGAAATGAAGAGTAAAGAAAAATCTGTTCGGTTTTCTCATTTGGTGGACTTCATAAGAAACGAATCCATGAAAGCAAATGATGCTATATTTGGCAAAGAGGCTATAATGAAATTGGCAGAAAAAAAGAAGCCAGTAGATAAGAAGAAACATGTGACAGCTTCTTATAATAGAAATAAAGCAAGTTATGCAACAGATCTGAAATCAAAAGAAGACAGACTTAAGAAGAAATCTGTTGCTCCTGTTTCAAGAACTAATGACAGAATGGTGGTTATGAAAGATGGGTAATTATCTCCATGTACTTTCTATAAAGATTCAAAACATCCCTTGATGAAATGTTTTAAATTTGGTAAAAATGGAATAGAAGACAGGATTCAGTTTCTAAAGCAAAATGGTATGTGTTTTGGTTGTTTAAAATCTGGTCATTTGAAGTTTTGCTGTAGTGAGAAATTGGCCTGTCCTAAATGTGAAAAGAATCATCCAGAGATATTGCATTCAGAGCAAGCACCAGCCAGATCAAGGGAAATAACTCCATTTAAAGATAAGGAGCAGACTTCTGTAAAAACAATCACATCAGCTCAAGTCACCATTCCTGAGAATGCTTCGCTACTAGGAGCCGGAGAAGGACAGTGCACATTGTCAATTGTGGCAGTAAGAATAAGAATGAAGAATACTAACCTTACTATGGAAACCCAGGTGTTGGAAGGTTTAGAAATATGTCGATTAAAAAAAACAGATTATATTCAACTTCCTACAACTTATTCAAAAGAAGAAATACCAGTCTCGGAATATCACATTCCACGTCAAGCAGATATAGATAAATGGCCACATCTGAATAAAGTGAAGTTACCTGAATTGAATGCTGGAATTGGGTTGCTCATAGGAAACTGTGTACCTGAAGCATACACTCCCTTAGAAAATATTACTGGACCACCAAACACTCCATTTGCTTCGCTAACAAGAATAGGTTGGATGATTTGATGTCTCACTCGTGAAAATGGAGAGGAAAATGAGATTTCAAGTAACTTTGTGACCAGGCTCGTATCCTGACCAGTACTACTGGGCAACCGATTAAACGTCAGGAAGCGGGCTTTCACGGAGTAGGCCTATTTTAGATTCGAGATTATTTTTGTTAAAACATACAAGTTATAATACGTTACATTTTTATTGCCGTTTTATTATTATATTTTATGGCAAAACGTTGAACAAATACGTCCAAGTTAATTTTCTGGGGGTTTTTTTTGATCAAGTATTTATCCATTTTCCTACTTTGGGTTGTTTGATTCATATGAATACAATTTAGGATAATATATGTCTATTGGTTAGTATTTATAATCAACCAATCAAATCTTTTGAATTTTGAGACGGGACAGATTACAATCCAGTATGAGACCAATAATTGTGTTACCAATGACGCTTTACTGCAGACTTTTTATGATTTTCAACGAACTCAATTGTATCAAATTATCTATTCTAATGTAATCAAATTAAAAAATGTTATGAAAAGCTATGATGTCTGGTTTCATCCTCAGCTAAGTATAAACAGAAAGATATTTAAAAACAGTTTTTAAGTAGGCCTAAAGATAGGAATACGTAGTATTTTGTTGAACCATTTCGCATAACGCAGCCCTAAAAGCCATAACCTTATTTTTCGTTACGTTAAATCAAAATATCGAAATACTCATCATATGTTCGACAATGCAAGAGCAGCTGACTGGTGCACTTACTCCACCATAAAATGCCTGACCAGAATGACCACTGTTCGCCATTCACTCAGACTCAGTTACCTGCCGCTCCTATTGACTGTTTGTGACAGAAAGAAGCATGGAAGTTCATGCTGTAGAAAATCATGAAGATTTACAGAACTTAGAAAGAAAATCCAAAAATATGTCAACTTGGACTTTCCAGAAAAGACTATTGATGATGAAAAGGAATTATCAATCGAAGATATAAGATTTACAGAAAAAATGAATGAATCTATAAAATTACAAGATGGGCAATACATTGTAGACTTGCCATTAAAAAACCCAGATGTTCGTCTACCTAGCAACAGAGAGCAGGTGACAAATCGTCTTAAGGGAATTAAGAAGATACTAAAGGATAATCCTGATTTTCACAGAGATTACTATTCTTTTATGAAAGATGTCATGGATTCTGGATTTGCAGAACTTGTTCCAAAAGAGGCTTTGCATAGAAATGACGGAAAAGTATGGTACATCACCCACCACGGAATTTATCATCCGAGAAAACCTCAGAAGCTTAGAGTGGTTTTTGAATGTTCAGCGAAGTACAGAGGAATTTGTTTAAATAATTTACTTTCAGTTGGACCAACATTTAAACTCACCAGCAGTCTAGTATCTGTATTATTGAGGTTTAGAGAAGAGATTATTGCCCTTATGGCAGATATAAAATCATTCTTCCATTATGTGCAGATGCCAGAATACAACAGAGATTTCCTGGGATTCTATTGGTGGCCTGGCGGAGATTACACAAAGGAACCCAGAGAATATAGAGTGTGTGTTCACCTATTTGGCGCTACATCTTCACCAAGTTGCGCAAATACAGCCTTACATAAAGCAGCTGAAGATAACAGACATGAATTTGACTTGGAAGTCATCAATACTATATACAGAAACTTCTACGTTGACGACTGTCTGAGATCTGTTGATTCTCCAGATAAAGCAGTAAAACTCATAGAAGATTTGACAAAGCTATGCAAACTAGGCGGATTCCAATTAACAAAATGGATAAGTAACTGCCGATCTGTGATTGAAACAGTGCCAATTGAAGAACAGGCAAAGGAAATCAAGAATTTAGATTTAGATTATGATAGTTTACCGGTTGAACATGCTCTTGGTGTCAGATGGTCAGTAGAAGATGATTGCTTTGGATTTAAGATAAATTTACCACAGAAATCACCAACTAGAAGAGGAATTTTGTCCCTAGTTTCTTCTGTCTTCGACCCCCTGGGACTGGCAGCACCCTTTGTTTTGCCAGCCAAAATAATTTTACAAGAACTTTGTCAGCAGAAATTATCATGGGACGAAGAAATTGGACCAGATGTATTGAAAAGATGGAATAAGTGGTTAGCGACATTACCTGGTCTAGAGTTACTCACTGTTCCTAGATGTTTTAAACCTCCACAATTTGGTGATATAGCAGAATTGGAAATCCATCACTTCAGTGATGCCAGTGACCAAGGATATGGTGCTGTGTCATATATACGATGAGTCAGAAAAGAAGGAGCAATTCACTGTTCACTAGTAATAGGAAAGGCTCGTGTTGCCTTATTACAGAAGAGAACTATTCCGAAGATGGAATTGACTGCAGCAACCATTGCAGTGAAACTGCACAAGATGATTTTAGAAGTATTAGACTACAAATGGACGAATGTATCGAGGGTTGAAAGCCAAAACTGGTTTTGTCCAAAATTTCTCAAAATGAGTTAAGTCCAGTTTTAGACATTTACAGTTGTATATTTTATCGTCCAGAAATGTCATACTCCTATCTGAATAAATGTCTGGGATATACAGACTTGACTCTAGAATAGGAAGAAAACAAGATTTTGTAGAGGAAACCAAAACAAAGCATAATCCTTTCTTACAATCGTTTTACGAATCCAACACATTTGGGAATCAACTTATTGAACTGTGCTGTGATAACGATTTCATTATTTTAAATGGTCGCACACCAGGCGATCCGTTGGGCAATTATACATACGTGAGCAGCACTGGGGCTAGTGTGATCGATTTGGCGTTAATGAAACCAAGGATGCTAAGTGATGTTTCCAACTTCACAGTTCTGGATACGGATATTTCCAAACATTTTCCAATATCATGTTCAATTTCATTCGGCGAACATATCAAAACCCACCCTACAAAACTAGCTGCCAAGACAATGCGCTATAGGTGGAAAGCCCAAAATACTGTCGATTTTTGTCAAAAGATGCAATCGCCAGATGTCGAGGCCCGGCTGCTAGATCTCTATGGAGTAATCAACACTGATATTGACGGGGCTGTTTCAAAATTAAATGCAATCCTACAGGAAGTTGGACAGGCTTCAGGGATGTACGTCGTTAATAGGAACCAACGCAAGAAATCCCAGCCGTGGTTCGATGATGAGTTAAGGCAACAACATACCAAGAAAAAAAACAAAAAATTAAAATCATTTCGTGTGACAAATTCAACTAGTGATCTTGAACAATATATTGATACCAAAAAAATCTTTAAAACTATGTGTGATGTGAAAAAACAACGACATTTGGAAAATATACAAACCGAACTTTTAGGTGCTTGTGAACGCAAGGACTCCAAAGAATTCTGGTCCACCTTGAAACGGTTTATGAACCCATCAAAATCCACAAATCAAAACATTGATGACGAAGAGTGGTTCTCATACTTCAAAAATTTGTTGAACCCATAATCGAAGAACGTGACATTTCTTTTGATAACCATGTGGCAAACACTTTACAGAATCACAATTCATGTTGTGAACTTTGCGATTCAAATATCGAAATTTTGAACTGTGAAATTTCATGTGACGAGATAAAATGTGCCATCAATAAAATGAAGAATAGAAAATCAGGGGGTGAAGACCTTATACCTCTTGAATTCTATAAATGTGCCCAAACCCAACTTCTACCATTGTTACAGAAGTTATTTAATGCTATTTTCACTACCCAGAATTTCCCAGACTCATGGACTACCAGTATTATAATTCCACTGTACAAATCTGGTGACCCCAGTTTAACTGGTAACTACAGAGGCATATCCCTTTTAAACGTTATCAGTAAAATATTTACCTCAGTACTTAATAACAGATTACATTTATGGCCTGAAGAGCATGGTCGCCTTGTAGAAGAACAGGCGGGATTTAGAAAGGGTTATTCAACAACTGACAATATGTTTGTACTTAATAGTATGATACAGAAATATCTTTCGAAGTCGAGGGGTGGTGTGTTCTACTGTGCATTTGCCGATTTCAAAAAAGCATTTGATTATGTCCAGCGACCTAAGCTCTTCTATTCACTTATTAATCATGGCGTCCATGGAAATATGATCAAAACGCTTCAATCTATATACAAAAATGTATCATCCAGAGTGAGACAAAACGGCAATGTCACAGATATCTTCTCGTGTGACTAAGGGGTCAGACAGGGTTGTATACTCAGCCCCTGGCTCTTTGGTTTTTATATTAATGAATTTGCAGAATTATTGAAATCTGATGGTGGGCATGGCATTTTTATAAACCAGTCGATTGAGGACATACTTTTGCTGCTTTTTGCAGACGATTTGACTCTTGTGGCTGACACTGTTGGTGATCTACAATCCCGTTTGAATTTATTAGAAAAATATTGTCTCAAATGGAATATGCATGTGAATGTTGATAAATCCAATATTGTTGTATTTAAGAATGGGGGAATACTGTCAAAATCCGAAAAATGGTTCTATAAAGGTTCAAGATTAAATACAGTTAGCCACTACAAATATTTAGGCATCTTGTTTTCTAACCGTTTAAATTGGAGCAAATGTTGTAAAACATTAGCCCACCAAGCAACAAAAACCTTAAATGTTATTAAATCTTGCATATGTAAATTAGGTCATCGAAACTGCAAACTGGCTTTTAAACTATTTGACTCCATGGTTGCTCCAATACTATTGTATGGTTCCGAAATTTGGGGAGTAGAGCCAAGGCCTGATATTGAAATGGTCCAAAATTTATTTTGTAAGTGGTTAACTTATACTGGAAATAAAACAACAAATGCTTTAGCAAGGGATGAATGTGGGCGGTATAAATTATGTGTTAGTTATATGTCCCAACAAATTAAATATTTTCTATTAATTCAATGTATGAATTCTGATAGGCTACCAAAGCATTGTTATAATATGTTGTATCAACTGGACCTAGTAGGGCGGCGAAATTGGTGTACCTCTGTTAAAAATGTATTGTTCGCATACGGTTTTGGCCATGTTTGGATTTCCCAGGGCGTCGGTGATATCAAAAGTTTTATGTCCATTTTTAAACAAAGTTTACGAGATATTCAACTCCAAGACTGGAATTCGTTTATTTCGAATTCAAATAAATGGTCGTTTTACTCTCTCATTAAAACTAGTTTAATATGTGAAAACTACCTAAATAGCAATTTGTCGCATAGTCTAAGATTTTCACTCGCAAATATTAGATGTTCTACGTCATTGCTACGCATTGAGCAAGGCCGTCGAAATAAAATACCTCGAAATGAACGAATATGTGAACTTTGTAATATGAACGCCGTGGAAGATGAATTCCATTTTATTTTAATATATTATCAGATCTCCGTACAAATTTTATTCCCATTTATTACCATAAAAATCCTTCAACAGATAAACTAAAACTATTATTTCAAAGTCAATCTAATGTAACTATTAGAAATCTGGCAATTTTTATTAAAAAAGGATTGGCAGTTAGAGCTGAAATGCTCGAAATATGACAAGACTATAATATTGATATCAATTTGGTTTATGTAATAAAGGAATGTATATATGTTAATCAAATTGTACATAATGATGGATAGTTTCTTATATATATCATAAATTATAATTATATTTATTGTACTATAGGCTTGAGGCCACAGAGTACTGAGTAAAAGTTTTCCGTTCCTTTCCTTTCCTTTCCTTTCCTTTCCTTTCCTTACAGACTTGATAATTGCTATGTCCATGACAACCTAGATATAATTTCTGCAATAACTGGTTATCTCCACTTAAACACTTTTGGCAGACGCAAATTTCTGCATAAATCAAAAGTAGCCTGGAAAAACTGGTTATGTCCTCCTTTGTGAGGTATAATTTGTGAGTTATTTCCCTTTAATAACGGAGCCTAGCTTATGTTTATATAAATGAATTCCTTTGTTTTCGGAATTTTAATTGAAATAATATGGCATCAAAGCGAAGTATAAGTTTAATTCCTTCTTTTATTCCTTTTTGGCGTATCGTTGCAAAAATTTATTCAGCCTTAAATTGCAGAATCAAAGATCCAAAGAATTAATAAAAATTGGATATTTTCCTCTCTGGACATAGCCACTTATGGCAGAAAATAATATTCATTAGTAGTAAGGTCACATTTTGCTGGTCTGTATGTTTACAATATGAATACGGAATTAATCATATATTAAATTTTGTAGTTTCAGGTAAATGCTTTGATGCTTTCCATGTTTTACAACAAATTGATGAATCTGATGAGGAATTTGACGATAGTGACAATGATCCTGATTTTCCGTCTCCAGATGACGAGGACTATGTTTCTGAAGAAGATGATTTTCCCCCGACAAAATTGTACAAAATTCAAGATAGAAATGGCAGTGCAGATGCAACCAGGGAGAGAGAAAACCAAATTAACGTTGATACAACAAGGGAAAACCAAAGCAATGTAGTTACAACTAAAGAAAACCAAGTCAACGTAAGTACATCAAGAGAAAACCAAACCAACGTAAAAATATCAAGAGAAAACCAAGTCAATGTAAATACATCAAGAGAAAACCAAGCCAAAGTAGGTACAACAAGAGAAAACCAAACCAACGTAGATACAACAAGAGAAACCCAAATTCAAGCCAATGTAGATACAACAAGAGAAAACCAAACCAACGTAGATACAACAAGAGGAAACCAAGCCAATGTAGATACAAGATAAAACCAAGACAATATAGATACAACAAGAGAAACCCAAGCCAATGTAGATACAACAGGAGAAAACCAAGCCAATGTAGATACAACAAGAGAAAACCAAATTGAAGCCAACGTAGATACTACAAGAGAAAACCAAACCAATGTAGATACAACAGAAAACCAAACTAATTTAGGTTCACGAAAAAGTCATCCTGAAAAATGGAAAAAGAATATAAGAAAAGATAAGAGTAAGCACGGACAAGAATTTACAGATGAAACTGGGAAAGTAAAACCTAAAAAAAACACCCCTTCCATTTAACTGTGGTTGTAGATATCGATGTAATGAGAACTTCACTGAAGAAAAAAGAAATGCTATTTGCAGTGTATATTGGTCTTTGGGAGATTTCGCTAGACAGAAAGATTTTTTACTGAATAGAATTGAAGTTTTAGGGGTACAGAGATTCAGAATCCACAGTCATGATAGAATACGTAAACGTAAGAGAGAAAAAACAATTTTATATAATTTCATAATTGCGAATGAAAAGAAAAGGGTGTGCAGAAAATTTTTCGAAAAAACTCTACACATCAGCCATGGTCCAATAGATACAGCACTTCAAAATATTGGTGAAGCTGGCACATTTTCAGGTTCTGATAGTCGTGGAAAGCATGAGCCTGTAAATAAGTTAAGTGAAGAAACTTTAAACGTTGATCGGAACCATATAAAAAGTTTCCCGAAAATAGAATCGCATTACACCCGCAAGGACACCAGAATATTTTATTTAGATCAAACTTTGTCAATTTCGAAATTATATCGTCTATATCAAGAATATTGTGAAGAGACCATCCCAGCAGTAAAACCAGTGGGAGAAAAGATTTATAGAAGAACCTTTTGTGAAGAATTTAATTTGTCCTTTTACCATTCAAAGAAAGATCAGTGTTCTAAGTGTGTCAAATATAACCTTCTCACGGGAGCTGATAAGGAAGCTTTTCAAAACGAATATGAAGAACACATGAAGCGAAAACACGATGCCCAATCTGCAAAAAGTCAAGACAAAATCAGAGCTGCGAATGATTCATCTTTTATTTCAGCTTCTTTTGATCTGCCAAGTGTCCTCCAGATTCCCAGTAGCTCAGCATCTTTATTGTATTATAGCAGAAAATTGTGTGTATACAATCTTTGCATCTATAATGCACTCCCACCAAACATCGCATATTGCTATTGCTGGTCAGAAGTCGAAGGTGGTAAGGGCAGTAATGAAATTGGCACTTGCCTTTATAGTTGGTTAACAAATTTACCAGATAGTATTAAAGATGTATCTTTGTTTTCGGACACTTGTGGTGGCCAAAATCGCAATCAGCATGTTGCTTCAATGTTTCTTTATACTGTTTTAACATCTCATATTGAATGTATTACACACAACTTGAAGTCCAGAAAGGATATTTCAGTGCAGAGATCGAGGTTTTAGACAAAATGGAAACCGAGGAAAAGAATCTGAAGAAGAGTAGTCGGCTCATCAAATTGGATCCAATATTGACGAATGGACTGATTAGAGTTGGCGGTCGACTTAACCGATCGAACTTATCTGAAGATGCAAAACATCCAGTTATTTTACCAAAGGAATCGTCTGTTTCAAAACTAATTATAGAAAAAACACATAGGAAGATGGGTCACCTTGGTAAAAATTCCTTTGTAGCAGAATTGAGACAGAAATACTAGATTCTGCAAGTAAACGCTGCAGTGAAAAATATTATTTCAAAGTGTGTTACTTGAAAGAGATATCAGGCTGCAGTTGGACAACAAAAGATGGCAGATTTGCCAGCTGAACGTTTCGCAGTGGACAAACCACCATTCACAAACACTGGTATTGATTATTTTGGCCCAATAGAAATCAAAAGAGGAAGGAACATTAAAGTAAAATTCTATGGTGTATTGTTCACATGCCCACCATTTGTGCGATACATTTAGAGGTTGCCTATTCCTTAAGCACAGACTCTTGCATAAATGCAATAAGAAGATTCTTGGCAAGAAGAGGTGGTGTTCAAACTATCTATACGGACAATGGCAGCAATTTTATTGGTGCTGCAAAGGAGCTTCCAAACATCAAATGGAAATTTAACCCTCCCACAGGAAGTCATTTTGTAGGTATTTGGGAGCGCCAAATCCGAACAGTAAGAAAAATACTGTATTCCTTATTGAGAGAACAAGTCATCAACCTAAATGAAGATAATCTTAATACTCTGTTCTGTGAAGTTGAATGCATAGTTAATAGCAGACCATTAACGAGAAACTCTGATGATCCAAACGATTTAGAAGCAATCACCCCAAATCATTTGATCAACATTCAAGGCGAATGGATTTTACCTCCTGGTGTTTTTAACAAAACAGACAACTATACACGAAAGAGGTGCAATATCTTGCAAATATTTTCTGGTCACGCTGGATCAGGGAGTACTTGCATTCGTTACAGAGACAGAAATAGTTGTCCCCAAAAAGAAACGCACAAGTTGGAGATATAGTGCTTTTAGTTGACAACTTATCGCAAAGAAGTAGGAAAGATTATAGAAGTGTTCCCCGATAGAAAAGGTTTGGTAAGAGTGGTTAGAGTAAAAACAAAGTCACCTCTCTATACACGACCTGTCGATAAATTGTGATTGATTTTGGAGACCGAAGTATAGTTCTAATATAATGAAAGTGAAATATTGCAATCTGCGTTAAAGAAGAAGTTATATATTAATATTATATTATTTTTTCTTTCGCATTTGAATCGTGTGTGAATATGTGTTTTTAATAATTGTTACGTTAAGCTCTACAATTAGGGAGCCGGTATGTTGATTTCAAATGTGTTTTATGCGTCATCTGATACAAGTTGGCAGACTGAAGAAATGCGAGTTAATTGCGACCAATCAAAATCGACTTCCGTTGCTAAATGGAGCCCCATTTTAAAGAACCAGACGAGAACAGAATCTGAAATCAGGAACATTTTTTGGAACATCGAACAATAAAGCAGTAGCTTTGAGCGTATACAAACATGGTATTTATATAAAGAACAATCGTTCCATCGATCTATGTAAGTTTAACGCTTCACGTTCCACTCGTGTGAGATTAGGCTTTTCGTGTGTTCTGGAAAGGTTCGCTGTTTCGCTATTCATACTCGCAAATGCTTTCAATATTAGAGGATGGATGGCGACCTTAGGGGGTGTCCACGTGGATTTAGGAATAAAATTGTTCTAGCAAAAAAAAAAATATGTGCAACTAAGATTTCGTTGAAATCGTCCAAAGGATGGTCGGAGATAATTTAAGTAGGCTATCTTTGGTGTGGGAATAAACTTAAGTCCACGATCTAAGAATGAATGCTGAAGGGGTGTGAGAATTTTGCGTCTCAAGTTAACTACAGTTTGTCCTAGCGGTGGCCTCTCAGTATTTTTATCCCCAGTAATTAGTTTAACGACTTACACGATGCTTGAAGCTGGTGTATCCAAAACAAACAAATACTGTTTGCTGTTTCTGGAGACCAATGAAGATTATCAACTGGTTCGAATTCATCTTCGTAGGGTGGTAAGATTGTTGCGCTGCTGATACTGGACTCCATCATCATGTTGTTGAGGGTGCTGAGGTTCTGTTGTGTTTTCCTCGAGATTTTGGTTAAAGGAGGTCTTTGGTAGATGAATAACGGTAATAGGTTTGGGATCATGGTCGTATGATTGACTGTATGTGATGGATTTTGGCACCGGGGTAAGAATGTATTTCAGTGTCTGAACTGGTTTTGGTAATTCGATTCAGGTTAGATGATCCAATAATTAAGGTAGATTTCTTTAGAGCAGGTATTCCATTATTTCATAATATAATGGTTTGTCCTTGGTTTGGTGATAATAGGGTTTGGTATCAGATAAAATGGTTGTCGACGGGGTGATTGGTACTGGTTTGCGACGGGGTGATTGGTACTGGTTTGGTAGTTGTTAGAATTGTAGCATTGGGAACGGACTGGTATCTGGTTCGATGGGGAAAAGTCCGGACTCACTCCTCTAATTGATATGCCATCTCTTCTCATGTTAAAACACGAAATTCAACCTTCTACAACGTGTTGAAAACTTTCCAATTTTTCGAATGAAAGCCTGACCAATCCCTAATGTCTCCTAAAAAATTACAATATATGATGACCATGAAAATTTGAAAGTAGACTACTACCGGTTATACTCATCTGCTCGACTATTTTTAGAATTATCTCTTAAGTCTCTCATTATCTCACCAAATCTTAAAAATTATGCAATTTCAGACATCAAATTCCAAATCTAGACCAAAAAATAGGCATGCAAAAATCCAAAAACATGAGAGAGAGAGAAGATTTCTAAAATATACATATACAATTTTCATGAAATGTTTTAGTGGAGTGTGTCCTATATGCTTCCTAATGTGTCATAGAGCCATTTTTTAGAATTATATTGAAATTGATTGAAATGTGTGGGATATAGAATATGTGTGATAGGTTCCTTGTGTGGTTGAGAAATAGGGTATGGAAAAAGACTCATTGTTGGTTAAGTAAATTATGGAGCTAAGTGGGAAATAGAGTCTGGAATAGAGACTCATTGTGAGGTTGGGTAAATTATAGAACTGTGTTTGGAATAGAGTATGGAATACGGACTCATTCTTAAGTTGGGTGAAATAAAGAGCTAAGTTGGAATTAGAGTATGTAATAAAGACTCATTGTTAGGTTGAGTAAATTATAGAGCTGTGTGGGAAATAGAGTCTGGAATAGAGACTCATTGTGAGGCTGAGTAAATTATAGAACTGTGTTAGGAATAGAGTATGGAATACGGACACATTGTTAAGTTGGATAAAATAAAGAGCTAAGTTGGGATTAAAGTATGGACTCATTATTAGGTTGAGTAAATTATAGAGCTGTGTGAGAAATAGAGTCTGGAATAGAGACTCATTGTGACGTAGAGTAAATTATAGAGCTGTGTGGGAAATATAGTTTTCAATAAAGACTCTTTATTAGGTTGAGTAAATCATAGAACTGTATGGGAAATAGAGTATTCAATAAAGACTCATTATTAGTAAGTTATAGAGCTGTGTGGGAATAAGAGTATGGAATACGGACTCATTGTTAGTTTGAGTAAATTATAGA